TTTCTCCTCTGCTCTTTCTTCTCCCATTCATCTCTCTTCCCATCTGTCACTCAGCCTTCTTCCTCCCCCCCGCCCCCGGCCTGACTCTCTCTCCATTGCTTCCTCCTCTCCCATCAACATCATCCTCTTCCTCTGCAACAGAGGCATTTTAAGTCCCCTCCTCTTGGTGGTCCTACCTCTTCCATCGCTGGTCCTGTGCTTTATGTTCATGCAAAGCTGAGACTTTCCATGATTCATCCCCTTGTTGCAGTAGAGAGGACCATGGCCATTAGCCTCCTGGGTGCCAAAAGCCAGAAGCTGGTCCTTGGATGGCCTTTGACTGGCAGGTTTGAAGCGGGTGGCTTTGCAATGTCCTGTTGAGCAAGTGCTGCAGTGGGAAGGGTGCTCAACCCTTGTCACTCATGGAGAACTGCCCCAGCCACAACAACCTGGTTCAGACCCTACTTAGCCCAGTGAACCTCAGAAGATGTGCTTGTCCTTTGCTGGGCTTTAATGGTAGGTCAAGGAAGAAAAACCCATCAGCAAGGACCACGCTGGTTTTTCTTCCCCAGGTGAAAGGCTTGAGATGCCAAGAGCCCAGACAGCGCTGTCTGGTTGCCTCTGTGGTTTGACAAAAGCAGCTTTTAAGATGTTGCAGCAAACTGGTATTCCTATGAGCAAGACCCCTGCTAATTAATTGCTGGTTGGTCCTGCATCATGTATCTGTTTGATCTTCTGCTGGTATCAGAGCCAATGGCGTCGTGCTTCCAGTGACCAAGCTTCTTCTTGTTTTTTCCAGGTGCAGCTGCAGGCTCAGCCTTTGGCAGTAAGTAAAAACATAACCGAAATGCTGGCATTTAACACCTCGGTGCATGGTCCTTGAGGGTGTCACTAGGAAAAAAAAAATTGTTATTTTCTGTCCATTATCATCTCCAGGCAATAAGTCTTCCCTAATTATGCCTCATTTTCTGTCCTGTCAAAGAGTCTTATATTTTCTTCCTTTGACTTCAGTAGCCTCATTTTGCCTCTTCCTCTGGCATGGTTTCCCCCCATGAGGTTCGTTAGTATGGCAGACGGAAAGGAAATAAAAAAAGACTCTTCAAAACCACCAGTGCTCACTGTGAACTTTTCCCCCCCAGTACTGCAGACTTCTGCTCTGAGAAGGAGCTGGGTTTGAATTATTTGGCATAGCATCCAGTCTGGGTCACCTTGAGCTATCGATTAAAAAAAAAAATATATAAGATGTGTGTACATCTGTACGTACACGTGTATGGATATGAGCATATGTCTATATGAAGTGTCAGCGGCAAAGACGGTAGAGCTCAGTGGGGATTTCTGTTGAAAGATTGATGGTATGATAGGACTCCGTGTTTAACAAAGCTGGAGGTAGTTTGATATCAAAGAGCCTTGAGTTTTGGGTAAGCAGAAGCCTGGGTTTGAATTTTGTGGCTCAGAATTACCCTCCAGAAGATACAAATCGGAGAGTTGAATGAGTAATGAGTTCTTAGGTTTGCAGACAAGTGGAAAGAATTGGAGGAGAAACAGTTTCAGAGAAATGCAAATGCAATTAAGAAAAATGCACCTAATTGAAAAGTGGAGGACATTTTTTTCTGTGTAAATGAACCATATTTAGATTTTTAAGCAGTTCAATTTAAATGGTTAAAAATTTCACATCAAAACTAAAAGTGTCCCTTAAGTAATTTAGGATTTTAAAAAATTAAATGTTTTAATAGTCCAAAATATTCTTTGCTTTTCTGGTCAAAACCATTTTGATGACTCTGTTTTTCCCCCTTAGCAGAGCTTGGCATTCCCAGTGCTACCTTTGTTTCGCTGGAAAATGTTTCCCATCACATTTTGCTGCTAGGGAGAAGCTGAGGGGGGGTGCTGGGAGTGGTGTGCAGGAGGTGGACAGGAGGGATTTGTGTCGAAGGCCAGTTAAGGAGAGATTATTTAACCCGCATAGGAGACTAGAAGTGACCTAAATTAAGTATTTAAACTAGCTCAGGGCTATTACGAAATTAAGCATGATAATCTGCATGAAGCAGTGGGACAAACAAGGACAGGAGGGCAGCAGGTGTAAGTTAAGTAGGAATTTGTGTTCCGAGTGTTATTTTAGATCGGGCTGTTGTGGCGGTGGGGCGGGCACCGCACCTGGGATCGCTCCCGCTCGCTCCACGGGGCCTTGCTGACGTTAAGCCATCAATTAATTTTCCCTGCTAAATGAAAGGTGCCAGTGAAAATTAAGATATGCCAGTGGTACAGGTTGGTTTTGATGGTGCCAGGTAGTTTGCTGCCTGTGGTGTGGCAGAAGGGATGGGTGCTGTTTGGGAAGCCGGGGAAGGCAGTGGAAGCAAAGCTCCCGGCAGGACGGGTCGGGGGCTCCCCCGCACCTCCCACCCACTCCTCACCCCATCTCTGCCCAGGCATGCTTTCATTTCCCCTTTTCAGCTTAATTGGCAATTAGTTTATGATAGAGCTGTAAGTATTTAAGCCAATATCTGGACCAACAGAGTAAGCTGATACAGCCACCGCCTCCAGCCCTTGCACGCACACACATGCTCGTTGCATCCAGCGTCACTGAGCCACCATCGCCTTAATCCTCTTGGTGCCCCAGTTGTAACCGCGGTGAGAAATCGGTCACCAGTTCAGCCCCAGCAGCAGCAGCCTCCCAGACGTGCGGGCTGGCAAGGAAACCCTCCATTCGCCCCAGTAAGTGCCTCCACCTCTTCTCTTTGCTTGCTAGCATATGAGCGACCGCAGCGGGTTACCACCACAAAAATGACCACCACAACAACGCCCACCACCACAACCTCAACTACCACCACAACCACTACCACCACCAGCACTCCCCTACCTGCCACCACCACCACCCAGCCAGGTGGGTGCATGCTCCCTGCCTCGTTCGGAGGGCCAGGACTCCGCCGCCAGGCTCCTCCTTTCGGCTGCTTCCCATCCCGGCTCTTCTGGTGGTGGTAGGGACCACATGGGGCTGATGCACCCGTGGCCCTGGTTATCTGCTCTGTAGGATGGTAAAGGGACATGGATAAAAATCACCCTGACTCGGTTCATATCCCCCAGCCTCTGGGCAGTCCTGGTTTGCTGTTCTCTCTATTCAAGGGCACTTTGACATGTGCAACCAGGCTAGGAGCCAGCTTGATGGTCCCTATAAGCAGGGAGCCAGCCACAACGGGTCCCCCTCAAAGCCAAGAGACAATCACACCATGGGTTGACATCCCCCCTCGCCGGCTGATCTCACTCTGCTGTCACTCTGTTATCAGGGCAGCAAGAAGCAAAGCCAGGACGGGGTGCGGGGGATGGCAACACTTTTCCCTTTTTTTCTCTCAATTTTGGTTTTTTTTTTTAAAAAGAAAAGGTTTTCAAAATCCATCCCTCCTAGAGCCACTTGGCAACGTTGTCCTGCACGGGGCTGGCACGGCTGCAAGAGATGCTCTTTTACAGCTCCCATCCCAAGGCATGGCAGGAAAGCAATGAAGGCTTTACTGTCCCACTGTAAAAACCAAACCACGTATCCAGTTTTGCCTGGCTGGAAGGAGAGGGGAATTCTACCCTGTCCTGCTCTATCCCAGACCTCCACACACGATACGAGAGCAGGCAGGAGAGTTGCCCCCGCTGCACTTGCTGGGTGCTGCTCCCAGAGCGCAATGGGGAAGGGTGGGTGCTGCTCCCAGAGCGCGATGGGGAAGGGTGGGTGATGCTCTAAGAGAGAAGCTGGCTCTGACTTTGCTGGCTCTCCCAGCCCTGCATCAAGTCCCTGTGGCCAGACACAAGGATGTAATGCAGGCTGGCTGCATCTTCAAGGGCAGCGTTCCTAGGGCAGAGCCGCACTCCGACGTTCCCCAGGCAGCCGCTGTACCAGCAGCCAGGGAGCGTGTGGGGCTGGAGCTCACACACGCGCCAGAAACACCCTTTCCTAATTTCTAAAAACACCCTGTGGAGGAAAACTTTTGTCCTTTTTCTGGGGGTTCCTCCTTCCCTCCCCCCGTGAACAGGGAGACAGCGTTTTCACTTGTCTTTTGGAAATGAGCAGATAAAACTTAACAGCAGGACTTTTTTTTTAAGCTTCTCATGGGGGAATTAGACACGCATTCCTCCCCTTGCCATGCTTTCTGGGCCTGATATTTCCCAGGAGGACGTTTTACACCCACAGTATGTTAGTAACAGTCTGTCTGGGGGAGCTGCCAGAAGCCAGTCAAAGGGATGAGGAAACTTGATTGCATGTTTATGCAAATATAGATATATTCATGGAAGTACCCTGCTTGAGTAGTTAATCGGAAAGCCGAGGGTTTAGCTCCAGCTTCCATGGAGTTGCAGCGACCCTGGGCAAAAGAGCGCAAGTCTCTTGTCCATTAGGAAGTGCTCCTCACCCAGGTCCATGCTAGACGTGGGCAGGAGGAGGGTCACCCACCACCCCTGCCCAGGGCTCACGCCATCGCCATCCCCCCTCGCAGCGATGGGGGATCATGTCTACATCTGCACCACATGCTTGGGGTCATTTGATTTTTATCCATGCTCACTCATAGCAACATTTTAGGTCTGGTTTTTTTGCAAGTGCTGTGTACGCGTGGGTGGTGTGTTTAGTGCCGATCTCATGTATGATTCGCAGGGCTCTGCCTCGCTTGTGTCATACATCTGGAGTGGGCAGGACGGCATCTGTGTGGGGTTGGGTGGCAGGGGAGGGGGGCAATCTCTCCTGCCAAGCTGCTCTGAGGGACCTGGGAGACATCATGCACCTCAGGGTTTATTCCTTCTCCAAAACCTGCTTCCTGGGCAGAGAAAATGTTTTCATGATGCTTTCATTAACTGATGGCAAGGGACAAAATAAATAAATAAGTCACAGTCCAGCCACCACATCTCTGGCTTGCTATGGTCGGGGCTGAGCTCGGAGCTCCTTGCCCCCACCCAGACACCCATCCCTGTTTCTGCACAGCCATGTCCCCCCCCAGCATGGTGTGCCTGGGGAGGGAGACAGCCCCTGCAGGCACTGCTCCAAATAGGAAGGCTGTCAGGGCCACCCAGCAGCTCAGGGACCCGCTCTCTTACCTGGGCAGTGTGCTGGGTTGGATGCCAAAGGTCTGTTGTGTGCCTTTGACCAGCAACAGGGAAGCAAGACACAGCCTAATTCTGATCTGCTTTTGACCAGAGACATTCCTCCCCCTCCAGTCCTGCAAAACATAAAGTACTTAAGTACCACGACATCCCAATGTCACTCACTTGGACCTCAGGGAAAACACCTTGCTAAAGAGATGGCCTTTCGAGCTCCTGGTAAGATGCCAGTTTGCAGGAGAACGCAATAACCCCGAGCTGGGTCAGAGTCCCGAAGTGAGATACTCCATCCTTACCTCCCTTCTGAATTTTAGAAGCATTAAACGAATCCCTCCTTGCCCTAAAGCCAGCTCAGCCAGCCAGACATTTAAAAAAGAAGTCCCCTTAGGGCCCTGCCCCATGCCCATGCTGTTTCACCCTCTAATTTACACACTGTCTTCTGCCCTCTGAATTTCTGCTTCCCACCATAAGTGAGCATCATCAGACCAGCCTCTGAGTTCGCTGCCTCTGTGCCCGTGAGAGAAACACAGAAAGAACCAGGTATTTAAAGCCAGACCGTTGTGTTTTTCCCTTTTCCTTCATGCCTCCGCACACTAGTGGGTAGCAGCAAGGCAGAAAGCAGCGTAGCACGTAGGCTAGAGGAGTAGATTAGATTTGGGTTGTCTCTGGGTTGCATGGATCCGCTAGACATCTGCTTCCTTTGGCTGCTCGTGATGTTTTCCGTGGTCAAGGTGGAGCTGTGGTCATGTTCGTAGGACGCTT